ATATATATATATATATATATATAGTATACACACACATATACACTTACGTATATGTATATATAAATTGTAATATTAATTACATTTTACATAAAATCTATATACTATATCATTTTCTTTGAAATTATATGATTATATTGAACATGATAGAAATATATGCAACACAATAAGTAAAGATCGAGGCCATATTCGATTAAAACAAATATGTTGATGCCTAATAATATTTTCATGTAAATTTTACAATATTTATCAATAAATATGGCTTTCTCTGCTTATTGCGTTAAACATTTCTTGGTTTTCACTTATTATTGAAATTTCACAATCATATACATGAAGAAAGATTTCATTTAACATAAGATGTTACAAATGGATTATAATTAATTATTATAAATTTATTTTAATTTATATGTATTCTTATATAAAATTTATTATAGTAATCGGCAAGTAAAAAAAAGAACGTTTGAGAAATGTAATCAATATTCTAGCAGCGATCTAAATGCGGATACTGTCATTAATCAAATTGTATATAAATTTTGTTCTGAATGTCAAAATATTTTTGGATGACGTATGCAATACTCATGAGCAAAATCTACTGACGAAATGCAAAGTTAGGAAAAGAATACTCAGGAGAAAATGCGATGTGAAGGGCCGAGCTTTCGTGTACCTGAGCTATAGGATGCTCGTTGTTTAGCTCGGCCATAAATCATAGTGGTTGCAAGGTCAGCTGCCCCGATCTCGACCGTGGCGGCATTCTCTCTTTACGAACCAGCGTGAAGGACCAACTTTGTCCTCAGTTTGGCATAAGTTCGTTTCTTAAAACTATCTCGATTAATTTTAAAACGCCAATGTAGGTCTAAGAATATCTACAAAACTATTATATTGATTTTCATCGCAAATACTTCTTGAAGTATATACGTACAGTAAATGCAGTATACAAATAATTGCAATGAACTTTAATATCAAAGTTTATTGTAACTTAGTGCATAATAATTACGTCATTCAAAAATATTTTTATCTATATTTATTTATGAGAAAAGTCTCATTATTAATGTTTCAATACTAAAATAAAAATTACTATTGAAGAATAAACATATAGTGTATTAGTAAGAATTTATGAATTTTTACTCATTTCTATTTATTGTCCAATTTTATTAATCTTTTTTTATTAATTTAATTAATTTTACTAAATTTTTCTACGCAAAGTAATTACTATTTTCCTATTATATTTAAAAATAATTGAAAATATTCACAGTATCACTGTACAAAGTACTTTATTATCATATTCATAACTATTATTACCTTCAGAATTATTTCAATAATGCGGATTATTTAAATAATGAGTTGTTAATATATTTGGATTAGGATAATAATTTTGATGTTCTTCATAAAATTGTTGTTGAGATTGTAATTGTGTCTGTTGCGCTGGATTTAATACTTGAGTTTCGTGAATTATCTGCGTATTGGAGTCTGATATCATTGATGGTGTTGATTCGGCTGTGTTTTGGGATGTATTCGGTGATTTTTTTTGTTTCATTCGTCGATTTTGAAACCAAATTTTAACTTGACGCTCAGTCAAAGAAATATTTTTAGCTAACGCCATACGTTGTCTTTTTGCAAGATATTTATGTAAATGAAATTCTGCCTCCAGTTCCAAGATTTGAGCGCGCGTATAGGTTTGCCTCGTGCGTTTCTGCTCAATTCCATTTTCTTGGACTGCAATCAATAATTTTTGTATTAATAAATAATATATATTAAGACTAAATTTTTAGTATGTAGTTAAAAATTAATGGACAGATATTTATGGATTTTATTTATTCAACTATAACTA